AATTGTAAAACTTGGATAATTCACCTACTATGGGCTTGAGCTCTTCCTCTACAATTAAAAGCTTCTTTATTTGCCATTGAAGTCCAGCAACCTTAGTCTGCAACTCTTTATCTTGAGATCTTGTAAATGGCTTTGGAGCTTCCAAAACTCTATCTTTGTCCTTGATGCTAGTAGGCCAGAATCCCGTGTTTTAGTCGTAGTTTGCACTCCACTTACTGTATTTTACTTGTGTTTGAGCCTAAATGATAGTGAATTGTACATATTATGTGTTGTATGCCTTGCATGAAGTGATTTCGAGTTAAAAAGATAATCGAGAGCTAAATCGAACAAGTTGGAGCTTTGAAGTCTAAGTATAAGCCCAAGGGATTAAACTAAGATCGCGTTCGGGGGTCGGGAGCAAAGGCCGGATACCAAAAATGGACGAAAACAATTTACTCTGTAAAAATTGCACAGCCGCAGTGCATGGGGCGGCGCGGCAATGTTTTTTCGTTATTGTCCTTCAGAAGTTGCTCTCTGAACTTTCCCACTAGCGCCCCGCATGGGGCGGCACGCGTGTACAAATTTATTAGAGTATTTTCCTATTTCGGCTTGGAAATGGTATATTCATCCGGGCTCACTCCTACATGGTATAAATACATCAAAAAAGATATTTTTGAAGGAACTTTTAACCTTGGAAGATTTGGGAGAGCATATATTGGAGGTTAGAAGACATAGGATTTCGTCATCTTTCCATCAATTCAATATGGGAGTTTGGATTGCAACGTTAGATTGATATTTTTTTATTCTTTAATTATATTTCTAATGACTTCTTTCATGATTATGGAGTAGTTTCCCTTAGGGTTTGATGTGTATAGTGTTTTGATAAATATTTGTGGATTCTAACTCTAGTTCTTTGCTTGAATTCGTTTATGGGGCTTTGAATTGTTGCAACTTTATTCACCGGTTTATTTAATCGAAAGATGAATATTTTGGTGATTATCTTTGCATTATTTTATTTGGTTTAATTCAGTGATTCTCTTAAGTAATCGAAAGCGCTTGTTGAATTGTTGATTAAATCAAGTTAGGAGAATATTCGACAGACGTTTTTATGAAAACTACTCCATTAACGCATGCTTGCATATTTTCACAATGCTTATATTAGTTCACCTCGTAGAGTTAAGATTTAATCGAGAAAGGAGTCTTGGCTATATGTTTGAATAATCATCGAGTGAATTCGTGAGGATCATTAGAACAATAGAGTGAATTAACTAGAGTTAGATCCAAAATAGTTATCTTTCACCTGTCATGTCGTAACCCTTATTCCTCACATTAATAAAAACCCAACTCTGCTAATCTCTAGTTCTTGGCAGTCAATTGTCAATTGCTTTACTTTAGTAGTTAATCATAGTTAGTAGTCCTTCAAAATCATGTTTTGATCGTCTTGAATAACGTTAAACCAGAAATTACTAGAGCATTATTTAAATCCAATCCCTGTGGAGATGATAATTTAATTATACTATCTTTAGCTAGCGAGTATTAATTTCGTGTTGTATTTTACGCTCGTCAGTACTACCAGATATTGTATTAACATAGGCCTTTTTCATAACCAAATATGAGAAAAAAATTCTTTTCTCTTAATATTGTGTGAGTTGTAGCACTATCCAAAATACATAAATTTTCATTACTTGTCTTGGATCCAATTGAAGTCTAGAGAATTTTATTTTCTTCATAAAAAAATAAAAGTGCACCATAAGAAATATAGAAAAACTAACAACATTAACAACAACATAAGACAAAGTACTACTTGAAAATAAAAATAACTTTAGAACGAAATAAAAAAATATTAAATATAAAAATAAAACATAATTGCATTCCCCGACAAAATGATCAAACTTTAGTTTTGATCCCCAAATAAGTCTTCAAATTCCAAATGAGTAAGATCATCGAGACCTTCAAAATCATAATCATTTAAAGCAAGATTTGCCTCGGCATTATCATCATTTTTGTTTGAAGACCCTGCCTCAAAATTATTTTTAAAGGTTAAGTGAGACTCCACTTGGGCATTAGTAGAAGATGCTCTAACATTATTTACCTTTCTTTTGATGGAGTTTTGATAAAGCCTGACAAAATGCTTAGGTGCATGACATTCAATTTTCCAATGACCTTTCATGTCACAACGGTGGCAGTTACCGTTTTTGCCTCTTAAAGGATTGTTTTGAAAACCCATATTGTTTTCTTATTTTCCATGACCACCACGATGATGATTATTATATCATCTCTTACCATTGTCATGCCCACGTACATTCATATGGCCATGATAATTATTCTATCTTTTTTCATACTTATCACGTCTCGCTACCATGTTCGCTTCAAGAATTGGAGCTAATCCCTGTGGGACGGGCTTCATAGTTTTTCATCAAAAGTGTATTATGTTGCTCAGTCACTAGAAGGCATGAGATCAATTCAGAATACTTTTTAAAACTCCTTTTATGGTATTGTTGTTGTAATACCATATTTGAGGCATGAAAAGTCGTAAGAGTCTTTTCCAACAAATCCTCTTCATTCATAACATCCCCACATAATTTTAATTGGGAAGTTATTCGAAATACATCAGAGTTATACTCACTTACGGTCTTAAAATCTTGCAACCGTAAGTACATCCACTCATATCGAGCATGTGGCAATACTGTAGCCTTAAGGTGATCATACATTTTCTTCAGGCCAATCCATAATTCAAGTGAAACTTTCACTGTCAAATATTCAACCTTCAAACCTTCATCCAAATGACGTCGAAGGAAAATCATGACCTTCGCTTTGTCCTGACTTGATGCCTCATTACCCTGAGTAATGGTGTCACCAAGACCTTTAGCGGCTTAAGTGAATCTCAACATCGAGAACCCATGATAGGTAATTCTTTCTAGAAATGTCAAGTGCCACAAACTCAAGTTTTGACAAATTCGACATAGTGAAAACTATCAAAGAAGATAAATAATTAAAAATTATTAGGATAATAGCGTACAGAAACGATTGACATAATATCAAATTTGTGATTTTTATACACTAAAGTGATAATTCCATAAAAAAGAATACTATTTTTTTCAAATTATTAATATATCTAATGTTACCTAGAACAAAAATGATAACTTTAACACAATTTCAAATGTCGAAAAACATAAATCAAGTGTTCTTTTCTCAATCCATTCTATTAACATGAAAATTAGCAACTTTCACGTGACAATCATGCAAACAACTTAAAATAAAGAAACATAGAATTCTCTACTTTTACACATGTCCAGAGATGTGAGAAATTATAAAACTGCATACTAAATACATTAATCATGAAATCAAAATATACAACGAAGAAAACAGAATGAATAGATACGCTTGAACAACGAAAAGAGCTCAACTTCGTGCTGATAACGTATTAAGAAATGTGGTTCACAATAATAATATAAAACAAGAAAATAAGTAATAGAATAAAAGAAGAAGAGATAATTTTCTTTTTTATCAAGTGTTCGAGTGTGTCTCATATCACATTTCATGCCTCTATTTATACTATTACATAGAATATTATAAAAGCATTATCTTAAACATGACATTAACAATTGAGATCATGGGAAGGGTTATAAAGGTGTGGCCGTTACCATCAAAATAGTGATGAGTAATGGTATGTTATTTGCGTCATGGACGAAAGTATTGGCACCAGTGAACATACACATTTATTAATAGTTTTACAACACTAACACTAACCAGAAAAAAATGATATTTATAATGAAGATGTTATCAAGTGGTTGACTGTAAAAGAGCCCTCTTTCCGAAAAAAGTAAAGTAAAAAAGAACCCTTTAAAGGGGAAAAAATTAAAAAAAAACGCCCTCTTATAATTTTCTAGAGCTTGTCTTAAACCTCAGTCCCCAAAGTGAAACAGATTAATTTTGGAATCTTAAACCCTCCTTCGCCAACTCCTTCACTTTCAAAGCTTTCACTTCAAATATTTTAGTATATATTATTATGTGTATACTGTTGGGTTGATTTTATATACTTAGAGATGCAGATTGTTCGGCGACTCTCTATAAATCTCTTCAAACGAGGTATTTTTCTTCTTCTCTTGAATTTTATTACTAGTATTTATTTATTTATTTTGGTTAATCTGGGCATCTGGCTGTAAAGTAGTATCCTGGGATCATCAACATTTTGAGCAAAAAGTAATCCTAGGAAATAACGAATGCATGCATAATCTGTTGTAGTTGTTGATGGTGCTTCAAATTCAGTTCGTGGGAAGTCGTATGCTGCTTCCACTGTTCCGTCGGATTTAGCGGCAGTTAAAAGGCAACGCAAAAGGGTATCAAAGGATGAAAGGAAAGCAATGGTGGAAGCTTTTGTTAACAAGTATTATATCGTTTTCCCTTCTTTTTAGGTTGACTCTTTGCTTCTCTTTTCTTGTGTTTACAAGGGCTTAGTGCTTTTCAGTTAGTGGCCCGAGGCGGATCCATGATTTTAATTTGATGGTTTCAACCTTTATGTTTTACTAATGCCCCCATTACACTTTTGCAATTATGGGTTTAGAATCTAATATTTGTTAAAATTCTGGTGATTTTTCAAATATGTATCTATACTTAGTGTCGAAACCACTAGGTTAAGATGAACCCAGTACTTGTGCTCTACATCTGTCATTGGCTAGTGTGGGGTAGTGAGAGAGTGGACATATACCTGCAGCCTTCCTGTTAAAATTTCTGCAAAAAATGTTGTTTCCACGCCTCGAACCGTGACCTACAATCACCGGAAGAGCAACTCTATTGTTGCACTCACATGACTAAACAAATGGAAAATTAGGCACCCAAGTCCCCAAATTCTGAAGTTTGGTGCTATACATTATTTGACCTGTGTGACAAATTTTGCTGGAGGTATTTTCAAATCCAACCCTTATACTTGACGTTGACAAATTGGGAACAACTGATGCAATGGGCTACAGCTAAGCAAATAGGCATAAAGAATGCTCTGAATTTCATTCGAAAGTCATTAGAGAGTGAAGTTTCATATATGAAAATTTATGGAGGCTAAATAAAATTGGATATTGGATAATTATGTCTTAGTTTTTACTCATTATTAAGGGGAGCCAAGACATGATCTTCATCACCATCTTATACAAATAAAGTTTCCTCCGTTTTATTCAGTTTGGTGATTGAAGCATTTGGTTGACTAATTTGGAGGGAAAAGGGTGAGGTTCCGTTAGGGTTCTTGAATATGGTGGAGAGTATTTTACTTCTTGTTGGAACATTCCCGTTTCTTCCCTCCTCAAATAATTAACTTGTGTAAAGTATCATGTATCCAGATATGGCACCAAGATAATCAACACATGTTTTCTTGGAAATCATTGTTCTCAATTGTATCCCTCCCCGTGGATGCTTCATCAGAAGGTTTTCCCTTGCGTCTTTCGAGTCCTTTTTCTAGATTTGGCTGCAAAAACCTGTTATATGACCTCTTTTTGTACTGTATCAATGACCTGGTGGAGTTCTAATGATTGTATGATGCTCTTTTTCTCTTGGTTGATCTACACTAGTGAGATCCATTCTCACTGTATAAGTGAACCAATGAACTCATTCTCTTACTGATGGAATTGATGATAAGCAAAAAAGATAGCATTCTTAAATTGGTTATTTGGTTGATCTCTGAAAGCAACAAATAGGACTATGGCCAAGTGAATTGGTGATCCTAGGGGCAGAGCAGATTTATAGAAGTATAAATGAAAATTTTTGTGCTTAGTTTTGATTTTTGGAAGTCTGCTAAATCAACAAGAATATGTTACTCTCATTTTCATGGAAAATGAAGCATATATTTTCTAGATTTATTGATCTCTTGAAGTGTTCTTTGATTTAATTTTCTTCTATTTACTTATAAGTAAGAGAAAAACACTAGTGGTAGTGCGGAAAGATGAAGGGGCTACGCGATATATTATCTTCTTTGGCAATGTTACTGAATAGTCGCTTTTGATGTGTCAATCATGACAGTGCTCCTGGATGCCCTTTAGGAGTTCCTAAAAGGTATTGTTGTCTCTGGATTACGGGAACCTTAGTATTGAAAGTCATCGAACCTGTGTCTGAACCGAGTTAGAATTTATTTGTGAGTACTCCTGGTTGTCTATAAGGATATTACAGCTGATGTGTAGAGATTTTGTATCTTCTTTGTACTCAGGTGGGACAAGAGTGGGTTGCTCTAGTGGTGAGCACCCTCCACTTCCAACCAAGAGTTTGTGAGTTCGAGTCACCCCAAGAGCAAGGTGGAGAGTTCTTGGAGGGAGGGCTGCCGAGGGTTTATCGGAAACAGCCTCTCTATCCCAGGGTAGGGGTAAGGTCTGCGTACACACTACCCTCCCCAAACCCCACTAGTGGGATTATACTGGGTGGTTGTTGTTGTTGTTGTCTGTACTCAGGTGGAATAAAATTGCCTATACTCCTGACTAAGGGTGGCAAACGGGCGGGTCGAGTCGGATATGGGACGGATCGAAAGCGGTTAATGAAAAAACGGATAAATTATCCGACCAAACCCATATTTAATACGGATAAAAACGGGTTAACCGACGGATAATATAGGTATATTATCCATGACTTCTTGAATATGATCACTCTTGGGAGAATTCCTAATCTCCCAAACTTGAGAAACCCCCAATATGAGTCTTTACAAATGTAAAAGTTAAACCCATTAGTTGTCCATTTTCCACATGGATAATATGGTTCTTATCCATATTAACCCGTTTTAAAAAAATTCATTATCCAACCCATTTTTTAGTGGATAATATGGGTGGTTAACTATTTTATTTTAACCATTTTGCCACCACTAGTCCTGATCATATTTTCTTTTGGAATAGTTTTTATGTCAATCAGACCTATGTTGCTCGGACCCTCCGAAAATGTCGCAGGGTGCATGTCGCCTCCTCCAAAGGTAGTGTATTTTTGGAGGATCCGACACGGGTGCGGCAACATTTTGGAGAGTTCATTCAACATAGCATCAAACTACTATTTAGGTCTATATCTGTTCCTTTACCACTTTTACATAGCATCAAGTGCAAATAATGAATGCTTATAACTAATGTGTACACATTGAAGCAGGTCCTTAATTTGGTTTGCAGGTTTTACGGTGGAGTTCTGAAGTTTAAGGTCAGCTAATCATCTATTATCCATTTTGCAGATATAGAGCCATGAATGGTGGAAAATTTCCACCTACTAAGAAGGCAATGAAAGAAGTTGGTGGCTCGTATTACACTATCAAGAGGCTTGTACAAGAACTGCAGTACAATTCTAAAATGCCAGTTGAACATAAAGTCACTGTGGTTAAAGAAGCTTCCGCAGGAGAAGCTGCAACTAGGAAGGACAAATTACTGACCAAAGTTGAAGAGACTTTAAGCATTGCAACAGCTCTCAAACATGGAGAATGCGAAGATGGTCCGTTAAGAAATGGGATTTCATTGGAAAAAGAATTCACTCAGAACAGGAAGACCTCACCTGAACTCAAAGAAATCCTAAGTGATCGACAAGCAGTTGATGTAGGCATATCTCAAGAAGCTCAACCATTAACCATAGATGGCGATACTAATAGCAACTATGAGGCAGGGGCAAAGCCACAAACTCCAATTGCAGCAGAGAAGTCTTTCTTGCAGGAGATGTCAAGAATTTCTGGAAGTGTAAGTATGCAATAGAACTCAGTGCTCTTTGAGTTCATCTGATATTGAAATTTGATCACATTTTTGTCCCTGTTAAGAGTTCTTGAATTTGAATTTATAGTAATTGTAAGACGTACAATGACTTCATCATTATCCACCACTATGGTGATTTTTCAAATAGGCTTTGAATCCTCTTCTGAGGGCTCCACAAAATCAGGTTTTAAAGGAAAAAAGACATGGCAAGCTATCTTACTATCTATTTCCTTTCAAAGTTCATGAATCTGAATTTTTACATTTTCCCATGTTTCCTCTTGTATCTTGCATGTGGTAAAATAAATAAGTTTCTAATGCAGGATAATAAAGATGCTGCTGCACAAGTTCTTGAACCAGAGCTAGAAACCTTTTCACATTCTGAGGAACCTGAGACTAACATAAAACAGAAAGTCTCCACTATGGAAACTTTCAAATTTGATGGCCTGAAGCTGACGGATGAGAAAAAACGTTCACCTGAATTGGAAGAGCCTACAAGGTAACCTGGTTATCTGTGTCTGTCAATATTTGTTGACGGATGCTATGTCTTGTCCTATCCTCACCACCCCCACCCCACAAACCCCTCCACACAAAAAAACAGAAACCTCTTAATATAGCAATGATTAATTACTATTATAATAATACTAGTAATAATTGGACTATGACTTGCACAAATTGGACTTGTCATCTTTCCTTTCGAAGTATCATTTTAATGTGTGATAGACTTACAGTATTACACTTTGGAGTAGTTCAAAGGTGCAGAATCAGTCAAGCAAATAATGAAAAGTTGATTATTTCAAGCATCAAAATGTGGGTTGAAATTGATTAACTGGTTGATGCAGTTAAACTCGGAATTGATTATTCTTAGCTTAGGGCATCTTAAATCAGCTCATAATTATGCTTATATGCTTGCATTTGACAGATCAGCAGAGAAGGCCAATCAGAGGTGTCCAATCCTGCTTTAGTTTATTGGTTTTTCATATAGAATCATTTATATATGATGAGTCTATGTTTACACCTTATCTGACATGAACTAGCTTCATATAGGGAATTATCCAATGAGCACAAGGCTGATACACAAGCTGAAAGCAATTCATCTATGTGGAGGAATCTGAAGTCTCTTGCAGCTGGAATCCTCAACATGTGGAGGAAACAGTAAATTAGTGCCTAGGTGATCTCTACCTTTTGAATTCATCCATTTAGATATCATACTGTTTTTATCGTCCGTTGTTGTAGCTACGAGTTCCCTTATCACTTCCTCTAAATGTAGACGTTTGTGGTTCTGCAGAGTTAGCTTCCAGAACAAGATGTAGATGGACAGAATTTACGCCGACTTGAGAAATCTTACTGTGTGTTATGCAGCCAAGTCTATACGATGTAACCATTTAATTCTTAGTAAATGATCAATGGTGAGAGAATCTGAAGATGGGTTGTAGTCTTGAAATAGGTGTTTTCCCTTTTCAAGATAGGAGCCTCTAGGAAGGACAGAATTGTTGTAGTAGGTGAACGCAATGGAAATGTTATATGGGTGATGGTGTAAAACTATCCTCACTGAGGAGATGCATGTTCATGTAAATACTAATAGCTTGTTTGGCCAAGCTTTTTCAAGACCAAAAGTGCTTAAAGAAAAAGGCGCATTTTTTTGAAGGTTTTTTTTTTTCTTCATGGCCAAGCTTTTAGAAGAAAAATAAGTGCTTTTGAGTAGAAACAGAAGCAATTTTGGAGAAGCAGAAAAACGTAACTTCTTTCCGGAAGCACTTTTTGAAAAATACTTTTTGAAAAAAATACACTTAGAAATATTTTTTAAAAGCTTGGTCAAACACTAATTGTTGCTCAGAAATACTTTTCAAATTAATAAGTCAAACACAAATTATTTTTCACCAAAAGTATTTTTGAGAAAAGCAACTTTGAGAAAAAACACTTTTCAAAATAAGTTGAATTTTAGAAGCTTGGCCAAACACACTAAAAACAAGGTTTTTATTTATCCTTTTGTTGGCCCTTGGTAACACGTATTGGCTGGGAAGTTGAATTGTTTAATTTTGTCAAGTGTAAAATAACCCAAGATGAGGATAAAATATGCAGATAAATAGTTCATTGCTAGTGTACATTTCATTCTGCGGTTCTGCCTCAAATGTCAATTGCAAGATCAAATCTGTTATTGTTGAGACTAATGAAAATGCTAATGCAAGAAACACCCTAGCACACTAAAAATAGTTAGCCTGTATATGAGTTTTTGCAATTCTTTTTTCATTTCTTTTTTTGCAAAATCCATTCTCAACGGAAGTTTTTCAGTCTTGGTAAAAATTGAATAAATTGTTTTTTGCCGTTTAGCTGGAAAATAACTTTTGCAAACAAAAAGGAAAAATCAATGTTAAGCAATATTCAAGGTTAACCATTATTCGCTATTAAGTATTTTTTGCCATTAAAAATTATTCGGCATCTTAAGTATTATTCACTATTAAACATTATCCGCCATTAAGCACTATTTGGCATTTTAAAAGATATTGGGAAAAATACAAAATTGATTGGTTGGCCGAAATTAGTTGTATTTTTCTTTGCAAAAAATAATTTTCAATGAATTACCAAAAGAGAAAAGAAAATTAGTCTTTATAAAAGTTGAGAAATTATTAGTATTGCCGTTTAGCTGAAAAATAACTTTTGCAAAAAGAGAAAAAAATAAAATTAATACTTTTTGAAAACTGCAATTTTTCCGCAAAAATTCATCTTCAACTTTTTCTTTTTCTTTTTTAAAAATGCAACCTAAAAAATTGTATGGGACAATAGTAGACATAATTAGTTTTGGATAAGTTTGTGTCCAATTTAAAGTTGATGATCTTTGTGTGTATTTGAAGAAGTGAAATTTGCCAATGGTGCTATAAATATTCTTATGACAAAACTTAAAAATGAAAAAGAAAAAAGAAAAACTAAACAAATATATGAGTGTTATAAAATAAAGACCGTAAAGTAAAGACAAGTATAGAGAGAAACTAATATATTATTCAAACTTCAAACTTATGTACATAATGAAATGAAATCTCCTCTATTTATAGAAGAAAGCAAGCTGCTACTTTACCAGATATAGATAATCTTCTACCGGGGGTAATGTTTATCCATAACGGAGTGCCGAAAGGATAAGCTCATTATACCAGATATAGATAATCTTCTACCGGGGGTAATATTTATCCATAGCGGGGTACCAAAATAATAAGCTCATTGTACCAGATATAGATAATTTTCTATCGGGTGTGATGTTTATCCATAACGGGGTACTGAAAGGATAAGTTTCTTCAAGAGACTTATTTCCAATAGAGTACTAAATAGATAAACATAATTATGGCAAAGTCTCATATAGATAAGCTTCTTCAGGAAGCTTATTTTCAAATTAAAACCTTACTAGGAAAAATCCGGTGGGAAAAAATCCTAGTGAAGGAAAAAGAGTACACATATTTAGTAATACGCATAACTAGTTATCTCATTAAAACCTTTATAAGGAAAACCCTGTGGAAAAAACCTTAGTAAGGGAAAAATAGTATAGCGCGTATTTTACTCCCCCTCATAAAAACCTTGTTTCAAATATTTGAGTCTCTGCATTGTAATCATGTATACCATCTTCTCAAAAGTTAAAGTTGGCAAAGATTTAGTGAATAAATATGCCGGATTGACACTTGAACAGATTTGTTGCACATCAATGTCACCATTTTTCTGAAAATCATGTGTATAGAATAATTTTGGTGAAATGTGCTTCGTTCTATCTCCTTTTATAAAACCTCCCTTTAATTGGGCTATGCATGCAGCATTATCTTCGTATAAAATTGTGGATCTTTTATCACATTTCAAACCACATTTTTCTTGAATAAAATGAATCAGATCTCAATCACACGCACTCCCTACTTGCTTCATGAATAGCTATTATCTCAGCATGATTTGAAGAAGTAGCAATAATAGATTGCTTTGTGGAGCGCCATGATATGGCAGTACCTCCACATGTAAACACGTACCCGGTTTAAGATCGAGCTTTATGTGGATCAGATAAATAACATGCATCTGCATAACCAACAAGATCTGCACTACCTTTGTTAAAATAAAATAAACCCATATCAAGTGTTTCCTTTAAATATCGTAATATATGCTTAATCTCGTTCCAATGTCTCTGTGTAGGAGAAGAGCTATATCTTGCTAGTAAATTAACAGAAAATGTTATGTCAGGCCTTGTAGCATTAGCAAGATACATAAGTGCACCAATTGCACTAAGATAAGGTATTTCGGGACCAAGGAGTTCCTCATCCTCTTCTGGAGGTCGGAACAAATTATTATTCACTTCAAGTGATCGAACAACCATTGGTGTACTCAATGGGTGCGCTTTGTCCATGTAAAAGCGTTTTAAGACCCTTTATGTATAGGTAGATTGATGGATAAAGATCACGTCTGCTATATATTCAATTTGCAGACCAAAATAAAGTTTTGTCTTTCCAAGATCTTTCATCTCAAATTCTTTCTTAAGATATTCAATTGCCTTTTGGAGCTCTTCTCGAGTTACTACAAGATTTATGTCATCAACATAAACAACAAGTATAACAAATTCTGATGCCATTTTCTTTATAAAAATACATAGACAAATAACATCATTTATGTAACCCTCTTTAAGCAAATATTCACTGAGGCAATTATACCACATACGCCCAGATTTCTTTAAACCATACAAAAATCTTTATAATCTGATTGAATATATTTCCCGAGATTTTGGATTCGCTTCAGGCATTTTAAGTCCTTCGGGAATTTTCATATAAATTTCATTATCAAGTGAACTGTACAGATAAGCTGTAACTACATCCATTAGATACATTTCAAGCTTTTCATGTAGTGCTAAACTGATGAGATATCGAAATGTTATGGCATCCATAACAGGTGAATATGTTTCATCAAAATCGACTCCAGGCCGTTGTGAGAATCCTTGTGCGACAAGGCGAGCTTTGTATCTTTCAATTTCATTTTTATCATTCCTTTTTCGCACAAAAATCCATTTATGACCAACTGGTTTTATACCAGTAGGTGTTTGGACTACTGGTCCAAAGACCTCTCTTTTAGCAAGTACGTTCAATTCTAATTGAATTGCCTCTTGCCATTTTAGCCAATCAGATCTTTTTCGACATTCTTCGACAGATCGAGGTTTAAGATCCTCACTATCTTGCATAATGTTAAGTGCAACATTATATGCAAAAATATTATCCACCACTATTTCAGATCAATATAAATTAATCCCTTCACCGGTAGAACTTATTAAAAGCTTCTCACTCACTTGAGTCTCGGGTTCATTGATTTCTTCAGAAATCTCGGAACTAATCAGATCTTGGATCTCTTCTGGGGATCCCTTCATAGTATCGTTTTGATCATTTGTTGTTTTTTTTTTCGAGGATTTCGATCCTTAGAACCCAAAGGTCTACCACGCTTCAGGCGTCCTTTAGGTTCACTAGCTCTCATGCTAGTAGATGGTTCTGGTGGGACATCCATTCGGATAGGCACATTCTTTGTAGGGATATGTGACTTAGTTATCATTTTCAAATCAGTAAACGCATCTGACATTTGATTTGCTATATTTTGTAAATGAATGATCTTCTGGACCTCCTGATTACATATAGGGGTACGTGGATCAAAATGGGATAATGATGAAACTTTTCACATAATTTCTCTTTTGATTTCCTTTTTCTCTCCCCCTAATTGTGGGAAATTTATTTCATCAAACCGACAATCTGCAAATCGAGCAGTAAATAAATCTCCCGTCAATGGTTCAAGATAGCGAATAATAGAGGGTGATTCAAACCCAACATATATTCCTAATCTTCTCTGCGGGCCCATCTTACTGCGTTGTGGTGGTGCTACTGGCACATATACAACACATCCAAAAATTCGTATATGGGCAATATTTAGTTCATGACCAAAAACTAATTGTGACGGAGAATATTTATTATAATGTGTCGGTCTGAGACGGATAAGTGATGTTGCATGCAAGATAGCATGACCCCAAAGAGTAGTGGGCAATTTTGTTTTCATAAGTAGTGGTCTTGCTATCAATTGCAGGCATTTAATAAATGACTATGCAAGGCCATTTTGAGTATGAACATAAGATACAAGATGTTCAATTTGTATCCCAACTGATAGACAATAATCATCAAAAACTTGAGATAAGAATTCTCCAACATTATCAAGGCGAATAGCCTTTATAGGATAATTTGGGAATTGTGCCCTTAATCGGATAATTTGGGCTAATAGCTTTGCAAACGCCAGGTTGCGAGATTATAGTAGGCACACATGAGACCATCTTGAAGATGCATCTATTAGGACCATAAAATATCTAAACAACCCACTTGATGGGTGAATATGTCCACATATATCTCCATGTGTACGTTCTAAAAAGGCACGGGATTCAATGCCAACCTTCATTGGTGATGGTTTAGTGATCATTTTGCCTTGATAACAAGCATCACAAGAAAATTCATTATTTGTAAGAATCTTCAGGTTCTTTAATGGATGCCCACTCGAATTTTCAGTAATTCGTCTCATCATTATTGATCCAGGATGGCCCAAACGGCCATGCCAAAGCATAAAAATATTTGAATCA